ATTACTCCACCAATAATGTGAGTGTCTCTAATTTATAGAGTGCTCAGCGCTGGAAGTGGAGATGAAAGGCCTAATTCCTGCCCTGAGGAGCTTATAATCTGCATCAAATACCCAGCAGCCTCCCTCACCTGCAAGACAATGGGTTTCCATAGGCTCTGGCCTAATGCTGATGCAGGCCTGTAAGTGTGTGCTCTGCCAGGCAAGAAGCCTGTCCCCAGAAGACCTGAGAGTAGCTCCTACCCCAGCCACTGTGAACCATGCTTGGCCCCACAAAAGAAAGGAAAACAGGAGAGACATTGTATCAGATCTTCCAGAAGGTCTTTGTTGCAATTTTCTGCATCATTGAAAAAAAAAAGTTACATCATCATCAAATAAAGACAATAGCAGCAGAGCTCATTGAAACGTCACAAGCAAATTTGCTCTTGTAGTTTGCCTAAGAACATTACGAAATTCCCTCCTCCCCCCCACCCCGCATTATTTTCTGTAAAATGCCTCTTTTTTTTTTTTTTTAAAGCACCATGAAATCCTACAGAGAGAAAAACAGGTAAAACACCTCCACACGTGGGTTTATCGTCGTCACTGGGGCCCCTGCATGGCAGTCTGGGACGGGGGAGAGGCTGAAGGCTGAGTTGTGGTTTGGTTTGCATATCGCTTCTAGGCACCACTGCGCCTCCTCCCTCGAAGCCCGGCGTCCTGATGGCAAAAGGAGAGGTTTTTCCAATCACCCTGTGTAGCCCTGGTCTGCTGTACCAACGGAGCTGAGTCCTCTCAAGGATGTTTTTGGTTTTTTTTTTTAATGCACAGGGAACTATTTGAGATTTTTCACTTAAGAACCAGTAACAGAAGGTAGATTTCAAATCTCTTAGGCACCTGTGAAAAGGATCATCACTTTCTGTAAAATCAGAGACACTTCCTATGTCTCCTCAATGCCACTGTGCTGATGTCACGTGACCTAGGGATGGCCGCGGGAGGACTGAGGTTTACATGGATGGCTGCTGGTTTATCCTGCAAGGGCAGAGTGCAGGGCTTTATTTAGAGCCATGTAATCAACATGCTATTCCCAAGTTTCCATATGTAGAATTAACAGCATCTCCAATGCCAAATTCAAGTCACCTTTGTTTCAGAGAGTTCCCGTTTTTATCTTTTAAGGCCATCGCTAACTAGCTCTTACACTATACCAGTGCTGAAGCAGCCACGGTCTTCGCACACAGTTGCGTCGTGGCAGAAATAATAAACCTCCTCTTGAAACCTTAGCGGGATGCAGAAAGCAGAGACCAGAAAAGCAATCCTGGGTTTTTTCCTCATTTTTTTAGAGAGTCTCTGCACATTTGTTTGTTGTCCTCTGCCTTACCTGTGGTTCAGAAACCATGGTATACATTGGATGGTCTACATTCTTACCCAATCCAATGAGTATAAATCTGCCCCACCCAGATTCTGGCCACATTCTCACTAGTCCCCAAAACCAAGCACACAAATAGATGAGCAGCATTGACTCAGCCAGGAAATGACATCCTCTCAGGGAGGTAAGGGGGTGGTTTGCTAATGTCTAGCACAACTAGGACTTTCAACATCGAATGGTCCCCATGGAACCCAGAGCAGCCATTTCCAGTGTGTGTGTGTGTGTGTGTGTGTGTGTGTGTGTGTGTGTGACATATCTGTCTATAATATATGAATTCATGAAGTAATCAAAGGGAAACTTTACCACAATTGACTGCAAATAGCAACAGCTTAAAATTCTTTAAATAGTCTTAACACCATGCAAAAAATGCCCGTGTAGCCTGAGCCCTCTGGGTGACCGTGTGCTGTAAGGGAGGATAGTGTGAGCCTACACAGGGCACGATTCTGATTTGGACACCAGGCTCCCAAATACATCTGGTCTCCATTAATTACCAGAAAACAAATCCCAAAGGGCAGGAGACTAAGCTCTCCTCTTAGCCTAAAATGAGGGGGCCCACTAGTCAGTATACACAAACCCAGCTAATACCGTTCTTAATGAATTTCACAAACTCATAGACCGGGGGAGATTTGGTCAGAGAATTGCAGAACTAAAAGGGACCTTGATGATTATCTGTGTTCAACTCCCTTGGTGTGCTGATGAGGTAACAGAGAAGCATAGGGACCGAGGTGCGCACGCTCACAGGCTGGGACAGGGAAGCACGGACAAATAGTCCCTCTTGCCTCACCTGTAGGCCAGGGACACTCCTAGCCACACACATATTAGGGCCCTACCCCAAAAGTGGTAAGTTTCTAAGTTCACTATTGGGTTAGGACTGGGTATGGAGCTACAGTCTCCAAATGGTCCCCCAGCTGTCCCCAGTAAACCTCCAGATCTATTAGGGAAGAAAAAATGGGTACCCAATTACCAGGTGAAGCAAGAGACACCACCACCCACTGAAGATACGGAACATGTGCTCTTCCCGTGTGCAAAATCAAGGCATTGATTCCAGGTTTATGGCGGGGTACGGATGTGTGTTTAGGGGCAGGGCTGTGCTGATGTGCATTTAGAATTTGCAGCAGCTTTGCCACGTGCTATTTGCTACGCGTTATTTGGCCCCATCTTAAAAGGGTACCATTCACACAACTTCATAACAACTGGCTTCCCCCCAAATCTTAGCTTGTACACACTAAGAGGAGTCCAAGCTCTTATTCCCTCTCAGCTTCTCCTTTGGAGAGTATGTTATAGTTTGTCCAATACTTCCCACATATTTAATGGATCAATCTCCATAGAGGGGGGGCTCTTTTGGATTTCATTCGTCAGGGCTTTGGCCCCCTCTGTACTCAGGGAACAGGTTATATTGGATATTTTCCCACTCTCAGCCAAGGGCTATTTTTGATTCCTCTGTATTACTGTGATTTGACTCCTTTGGGGAAGCGCCTATGCACACACCACCTGTTCCATTTGGTAGAATGTGCAGCTTAGTGCTTTGAATTGTTTTATTCCTGCTGTATACGGAGTTCCTGCAAGGTAAGCAAGTAAAGTGCAAAAGAGTGCTTTCAAAGGACATTTTTAACAATACAGAAAGGGCACCATACAGCATTCCCAAAACCCAAACCGAAATAAGGTATAATTGTCTGTAAGGGTAACACTTTAGGTCATGTTTACACAAAGACTTCATACCCTCTTGGTAATAGAGATCTTCTCCCCACCTCTGTATGCCGTGTCCATGAAACTAAAAAGACACACATGCACACAAACACACACATACACATACCACACACACACGCACAAGAGTGCATGACATGGACATTATAGCAAAGTCAAAAGCAGACTTTGGTCAGACAGCCTTTGAATACCAGCTCTACCACCTTCTTGCTGTGTGCCATTGGGTAAGTTACTCAGCTTCCCTGAGCCTCCATGTCCTCATCTGTGTAATGGGTTTGCCAACACTTCCCGTAGAGGGCTGCTATGAGGTTTCAGTGAGCTAACACCCATAAAGTGCCTAATCTAGTGCCTGGCCCACGGAAACCACTGGATAAATAACAAGGAAGCCTCTCGGCCAGATTTGTCTGTAGGGTCTAGAATTTTTAACACATGACTATAAAGAAGGTAACGAGTAATACAGGGTGGAAACGCAAACGAATGAAATCAATGGATAGTTTAATCGGGATGATTTTAACTTGTCAGAAGAATAGAGAAAGTCCCAGATATCTACCACTCAAAACACATCTTGTCAGGCTGGAAGGACTCTCACAGTAAGAGCAGTGCCCGCACCTGCATAAACATCGTTTCCGCGTCTGTTAATATGTCCCGTCTGTTAATATGTGGACACAGGATGTCACCAGTGAGCCATGGCTCCAGCCCAGTGGAGGTGTTAACCCAAATCTACAGTGGACAGGAAGGGCCTCGTGAAAGCTGATTCTTATTTGGCTCCTTCTCAAAAGCAATGCCAGAACTCTCACTAGAGCCTAGAAGGTTGGGGGAAGGGAAGGCGGAGCCACATGGGCTCCAGGCGAGGGAGAGCTGTGCATTTTTGGGAAACGGGCAGGAAGAGGTCTGCCCTGGTACCACCGGTCAAGGATGTGGTGGGTATAATTTTCCCCAGAAGTCAGAAAGCGTTAGATTATTTCAGGAAGTCTCTGCTAGTCTTGTGATCTTTCGATAAATCCACTCTGTGTGTTCATCTTGTGAAATTTCCAAAAGGTGGCGCTGAGCCCGGGGCGGGGGGAGGGGGGGGGGGGGGGGGGGCGGGCATCACTAGCAACTTCCTGGGGTTGCCAGGTCCATATGCTTAAGAGCGTGGTCCAAACAGCTACATCTGAACCATCGATAGCCAGCCAATTATGCAAGGGACTGAGGCACGCACAGGATGGTGAGCTTAGCACCTATTTTGCCCTTTCTGATTAAAAAATCCATTTAAAATCTTCTCCAAACTTGACTAGCCCCTCCCCCACTTTCCTTCACTGACCGTTCTAACGTCCTGAAACAATAGTGTTGCTATTGTTGGCCTTGGAACAATCACGCTGGTCTTCCAATTTTAGGGAATAGCAGGTTCGAGACAAAGAAACAAGCAAGGAAAAGAAGTGATGCTTTCAAAATAAGGAACACCCAAACATAAAAGTGGAACGTTGTAAATACTTCTTTTAAGCATTAGTTTTTAAATGGCATTAATGGCACTTAAGCTGCAAGCAATTAAAACAATTCAATTTTCTTGTACAAGAGTTGGTTGGGGGATTTTTTTCTTTTGTTTGGAGATAGCAAGATTGGACCTCGTCACTATGTCTACCGTAAAGACACCCAAAGGGACAAAAAGCCCTGAGATGGAATGATGCCATGGTCCTCCTTGGTATGTCTCAGACATGCAGGATGTCTATTTTTATAAAAATTTAGGATCAGCTAGGCAGAACAGCAAGCCACTGGCATCATGCAAGGCAATCATTTTGGTATTTTTTTCCCCCTCTTATCAAAACAAGTTATAACCGAAGTTCCACTAGAAAAGTGAACATGGACATTTCAAAACCAGTTTATTTTCACCACTGCACCCACTGAGGAAAATGCATGATTTTTGCCTATAACCATGCAGCGAATGAGGTTGAGTTTTCGCCAATGCTTGCAAGTTCATTTGTCATTTGTCGATAGACAAAATTCAGTAGGCTTCTGTCATTGGTTAAGGTGATATCCACAGTGTGATGCATTTGTGATTTTTTTTCTTTTGTAATGAGGAAAGCAATTGCACCTTTTAATACGTGTGCTCTGATCTGTTTCCCACAAATTCCACGTGCTCCCGGGTCCCATGGACACTCATTTGGAGCTTAGAAAGACTAGGTGTGCACTGAAGGATGTGTATCAAAATTCAAGCTCAGAGCAACATGCCACAATGTCAGCTCGAACCCTCATTGCAGGTACTAGTTCATCCCCCATCCGGTCCCCTTCTGTGTGTGTGCATATCTCTAACAGTAGGTTCAGGAAACGAGGCTCCATGTAAAAGACACACCTGTTCCTTCCAGAAGGCTGGTCTAAGGAATAGCTGCCCTTTCTCCACACCAGGCCCAGGCGGCGCCACGCTGGGGGTGCAGCACCGTCCCACACCTGCCCTTAACTTTTGTGGCCACGACCTCTTGCGTGTGCGAACACTCCCGGCGTGTCCCGCGGTCCCTGTCGGAAGTGCGGTCCTTATTCTTTGATTCCTTTTGGCAGAGCGATCTTTCTCCGTCATTTATGGCACAGTGAAATATATTCTTCAATGCTATGTAATTTCGGACTAACGAGAAGTCTGTTTAAGGCACGTGTCTCAGGGTGAATGTAAAAAAAAAAAAACAAACACAACGCTTGGTCAAGTCCTAGGTCCTCAGCATTTAGTTTCTGTCTTCAAGTAATGCATTGTTCTCAAGTTCCCTGTCTTTGGTGTCCGTGGGGACCATTCCATTCTCCATCCCGGCCTGCTGCTGGACGCACTCAGTCAGCATGGCGGTGCTGGAGTGGTCTGAGTTACACATCTTCTCCGTCTCCTCCTCCTTCTTCTCTTCGTCCAGGGAGTAATTCCGGAAGGTCTTGTAGATTTTGTGAACGTCCTCGGGCAAGGTCTTTTTGAGGTCCTTGTTTTTCCTCTTGGTGAGTTTGGAGGTGGACCCGAACTTGTTGATGATGTTGTCCTCGGAGGCCCCCTGCCCGTGTTTGTTCAGCTGCTCGGAGCCCTTGAGGCGCAGGTTGTTGGGCCGATTGTTGATGCTCTCCTGGGATGAGGCCTTGAAGCGGCCCGTGTCCAGAGCGGCGAAGACAGAGCGCTTCTCTGGGGAGAGCATGTCCAGCGAGTGGGCCCTTTGGTCCAGGCCCAGGCGCCGGCGCTCCATGCTGCGGATGGTGGCGGCCCGCTGCAGCTTGTCGTGGATCTCCACGCTGAGCCGCCGCCGCGTCTCTCGGAACTCGGCCGTCACGTTGGCCTTCCACTCGGCCGCGTGGGCCTTGATTTCACCGACCTGGCCGGGAGACAGGAGAGCAAGGGCACACTGAGAAAGTCGTCCCTGCCTCGGGCCCCCCAGCCCTCCCAGTGCCCACAGCCCTTGAGTGTCCCGATGGGAAGGCTGGCTCCGGGGAGGCCAGGGGGTGGGGGAGCCCATGCCCGGGTGGGGATGCTACCTCTGCCCTAAAGACCCATCTCAAATTGGCTCCTGGCTCCTGTGGCTCGGGGGGCACACCTGCTAGAGAACCCGTCAGGAGCCTGAGATGTGGAGGTGGTGACCGAATGGGAGGAGGACGGCATTCTGCGGGAGAGGTCGCTATCTAGAGTTGGCCGGGCTTGGGTTCGCATTATGCATCCACCCCTTTTTTAGTTGTATGGCCTCATTCCTCTGGCATAACTGGGGTGATCATGTCAAGCTCACGGAGTTCTTAGTGTTACGCGAGACAGAGACATGCACTCAGGCACAAAGCAGAGGTGCAACCTGGCCTTGGCCCTTCTCTGTTCCTCCAATGCTTCTGTCTGCGTAGGGTGACCAACCCGTCCCAGTTAGACTGGGACTGTCCTGGTTGTGGGACAGAACGTCCTGTGTCTTAGGTACCCCTGCAGTCCTGGGCAAACTGGGAGTGTTGCTCACCCTGAATCTGGGCCACACTATGGTCGAGTGCCATCCGGCTTACCCTGCTTTAAGAAGACCCTCCAGGGCATCTGGGAACCAAACTTCCCTGGTCATGTTCTGGGAAAGCCCACAGAACATTCTTCCTCAGAATGCATGAGGATCGATATCAGATTTCTTGGCTCTCATCCAGCACAGCCAACAGCGCTAGTCCTATGTTTTCTATACAGACGAGCCACTCAGAAGTCTGCATTTTTGCGTTTAGGAAAGTCGATATTTATATAGTTACTTTCTCTTTCACTACAGCTGACTTTCAGCAGGTCAGTTAGCCATCTGGAGAATCAGACTGGAGATTGCATTGATGGGATTGCATTGCCAGTGTTTCTCTAAGCCAGGAAAATTAACCCTGGGGCCCGGGAATGAGATGGGAAATTTTCCCATTCAGCAACTTTGTCCTGGGGCCTTCTATACAGAACGTCTGTCTGCCAGGAAGTGAGCAGTCACCTTCCAGGAGACTCTCCCTCTTTCTATTTCTTTGTTTTTTTTTAATCTCCCTTCCACTTGTTAGCTCTTTTCCTCTTCTTCTCTTGCCCTCCTTTTCAGTTCTTTTCCTCTCTTCCTAGAAAAACTACATGGACATTTTTTTTTTAAATCACAAGATCTACCTTCCCCTCTTCTGTCTTTTCTTGCTTTTGTGTAGGTTTTCACGCACATTTACCCAAGGGAGAAAAGGCTGCATGTCCCTGGTCATGGGGGTAGTTTTGTTTCTATAGATCTGACAATGAGGAGGGAATAAAGGTGAAAAGGGACCCCTTCTGTTCGCTTGCCCACAGCTGGTCACTGTTGGAGGACTTCAGTCTCAGAGAATGGAGAAGGAGTCCTTGTATTCTACTGCATTTCCACACAGACCCCAAGACCTAAAGGACAGGCCCATCCTTCTCAAGCTTTTTACAAACTTTCTAAGGCTCTCCCACATATCTGCACACCTCCCTCAACTACGGTCTACCCCTGCTGACCACTGCTATTTTTTAAAAATCATTCTGGGGTGCCTGGGAGGTTCAGTTGGTTAAGCATCCGACTCTTGGTTTCGGCTCAGGTCACAATCTCAGGGTCCTGGGATCCAGCCCTGCATTGGGCTCCGGGCTCCGCAGGGAGTCTGCTTGAGATTCTCTCTCTCTCTCTGTCCCTCCCCCCACTCAGGCTGGCTCTCTCTCCCTCTCTAAAAATTAAAAAAAAAAAAAAAATTTTAATAATAAAAAAACAAAAAGTCATTGTTTACTAGTCCTTCCAGGATCTGTGGGCTGATGAGTCATCAGATGTTCTCACCTGCCAAAAAAGGACCCAAAAATAACCGCTATTCCACTGAACTTGGCTTTTAGATAATGATTCAAAAAGAGGAAGCCGTAGGGGCCCTCCACGTATTAAGAAACCCTCCAGCCCATAAAATAGAGACAGGTCATTCTTGACATGAGTTCATCGGATCTCAGAAACATTTATAGAATTTGAAAGGGATCCTACCTCTTCTTTTGTCTTTTTGGATAGAACCCGTAGCCAATCTCCGATCATACTGAGGACAGCTGCAAAGTAGGCCAGGCCAACAAGGATCCAAAACCACACTAGGGGCTTATACCACTCCCGGTAATTGATGCCGGCATTTCCCCCTGAAAACAACCAAACGTTACTGTAACCAGGGTCTAGCATTTGGTCTTTGCAGAACAAACATATTCTAGTCCACGTAGCAGAGATGTCATTCCCATCTGATACTCAGCTGTTAGGCCTGCTGTATACAAGAGGTGACAGGCAAGGGAGGGCAAGGAAAAGATGGGTCCCTTCCCTAAAGGAGCCTGACTCGTGGCTTAACTTCTTTGATTCTTGACCACTAACCATAATACCCATAACAAAAAAGTGTCTGTAGCCAACCTGGTCCACCTCTGCTCAACCGGGGCTTGACAATGAATGACATGAGCTAGAGGACAACAGATCAGGCCCAGCTGTCGATTGTCTTCTTAACGTTCTTTAAATGCAATAAAAATAAAAGATCAATAATCCCCAATGGCTTGGAATTCTTGGCACCATTTCCTCCTTAACACACGCATTTACTAAGAGCGGACTGGATGTGTGGAAGTAAAATTAGACCTAATGGCATTCTTGAGACTTTGATCCTGGCAGCAGTGATTTAACACTAACTGAGGGATGGTGTTTACATGATGTTAATCCAAAAGGTCAACTAGACTGAGTAATTAGAATCACCATGCTAGAACTAAAAGGCCAGTGAGTCCAATCCCTTTATTTCATATGTAGGGATTACAGTAGAAATCCATCAGATCCAATTGGCCAGCTGCCCAATTGCATTGACCGGCTGTTGTGCTGAAAGGACCAGTCATTTATTGCAAATAATTAGCCTACTTATTCTAGCCCTCCTACAGGTGCTACCAAAGGTAGCCGTGCAAAACAGGCTCCAAGCCCAGCCCCCTTCCCTAAGGAAGTGAGGAAGTAACTGACATCAGCCTGGCTCTCACTCTGTGAGACACTGTTGCCCAGCGAGGCAGGCCTGCGGTCATTTCTAAGATGACCGACATTGGCGACGTATGGGTAATTATGGGACTACGTGATGAGTGATTACTAGTCTTTCCCACTGGGTCGTGGCTGTAACCTCATCTAGCACCACTGAATCCACACTGAGTTCTTACGGTATCAGTAATACCTCCCAAACGCAGCTGGGCAGGCACTGTGGCCGGGGGCTCCTCTCAGTGAGACCAGTGCACCCCACAAGGTCCCAAATTAAATGGCCACTGCCATCTCTTAAAATTAGAATTCCAAACACGACTAATGGGCTGTGTGGCCTGCCCCCTTCGGTCTGGTTTAGCTGCCTTTGTTTCCCGCCCCCCCCCCCTTTTAGGCAACTCTCCCCCGCAGCTTCCTCTAGGATACTACTGGAGTTCCTGCCACAATGCGTGGTTTTTGCGGTTCATTCCGTCTCTGCACGAGAAGGGGGCAGCTTTCTCCTTGGGGCTAAGAGGAAATAATCATCTTAGCAAGTCGCCGCCACCCAACAAAGCTTGTCACTAGGGGGCGCTAGCGAACAACGCAATAAACACCCCTCGGCTCTTTATCGATGGCTGGTCTGGAATTCAGAGCTCTGTGCGCGCTCTCAAGTCAGGGTTTCCAAAATGCAAAATGCTGTGATGTTGTTAGGCTGTCCTGACGTGAGTCGGCTACAAAATAAACCAGCACTTAATACTGCATGGTGATCAATGTTCCAATTATACTTCTAGAAGAGTTGATGCCATGTTCAATCACAGCAATCATCAACTCTCTTTAATGTACCTTTTTTTTTTAAAGGATCTGGTATCCTTCCCCATTGCTCTTAGAGTGTTGCCCAAAAGGTTGTGACAAACTTTCAGGCTTTTAAGGCGTGCATTCTTCAGACCAATCTATGTAAGCTCTGGAAATCAGAGCTTCGAAGGGCCTGGCCTAATTGCAGTCAGCACCGTGAATTGTAAGAGATACCTGTCCAAGGAGACCTCAGGACAAACAAAATCAGGCTCTGTAATCAACAGTAAATAAGGGAATTAAAACAGGGCCAGGCCTGTGACTGTGGAGGTCACGCCCTTGCTAGGTAAGTAAAGATAAAGGTCAAGTGCAAGTTTGTACTACATGCTTTCAATCCACAGTGGGTAATTAGAACAAATAATCAATTAAAATCATTGGCAGCACCCCTTGAAGCACCAGAGTCCCAGCTCATTTTGTCCTTGCTCCCCCCCACCCAAGGAGGAGCAGCAACCAGCTGGGCAGTGCTCCCTAACAAGTGAGGTCCTCGTGGGTGAAAAGGTAAAGAATGTGGATGTCCTTTCTTCTCTCCCATCCATGGTGAAGAGCAGGGGCCCACTTCCCGTGCATTTATGCGTCACAGCGTTAAATAAATCACATGTGTCCTTTCCTGGGTTATCTTTAATTTTTTTACTTAGAACCAACATAAGCAAAATCATTTAGGTTGGCCAACTATATTCATCTAAGATCTAAATAAGTCAGCGCTACCTTTCCTCACCTTTTTAATAAAGCTCTAAATCAAGTCCATCGCATAAGCCAACCGAGAACATCCATGTGCATTAAATCGGGGGCTCCTTTTATTTTACTTTTTATTTTTTGGTCCTTCAATCAGTGTTGTTTTATAAAATGTAAGTCATATTATTTTTTTACAGATTCATCATCACTGCTCAATTAACATGAAGGCCTGGATTCAGTAATGTTAACCAAAACAGATAGTAGATAGTTATACATTGACTCTAATTTGAATAGGCTATAACAGTTTTTGTTTTAGAAGATAATATCACAATGTATAACATTAAACTTTTAAATATTCAATCATGTTACTGTCAAATGGCATCATTTTTTTTTTTTAGTGACAAGCTTCCCTGCATTTTCTTACATGGTATAATTAGATGCAAACAAATAACCTGAATTCAAATTAAAAATTTAAACTCTTTGCTGATCACTAAATAAATAAATTTTTAAATTTTACATCCCAAGGCTCTATTTGTGCCCCCAGATTAAGAGATTAACAGGCCGAGTCAAGCAGGTGTTTAGAGAGAAGGGCTCGTTGCAAGTGTCCTCTGTAACAGACTGCGGCAGACGGCCCAGGGCTGCCACAGGGCACTCTTGAAGCACAACCCAGTGCAAACTATGCTCTGGGGGAACTTGAAGAAGTTTGTGAAATAGTCCCAATAGTTCTCTGTGGTTTCCCTCCAGAGCAGCAGGCCTCCACTCAGAAGGCACCAGGTGACTCCCCACACAAGGTGAGAGGCACAGTGGCTGAGCACTGGGGTGGGGTCCCAGACCCCTAGCTTTTTTAATCACTCTGACTTTGCAGTGCTCAGTCTTTAGGCAGGAAAAAGGAAGGAAAAAATAAAAACTGCTATTTTACAAACTGGACTTCAGTCTTCATCTGCCCAGTTGGAACAGCTAGGAGACCACCCTGCTGGTTATCACTGTCAGAATGAATGTGGACGCACCCATGCGTTTTTTGAAGAGCCCACAAAATCCCCTCCAGAATATCCTGTTTTCCAGATTTCCAGATCCCTGTCCCCCTTGTGAGTGCCATACTCCATGAAGTAACCAAGGCACCTGCCAGGATCATGTGCCAAATAAAGGACAGTCAGTCTGCAAGCTCAGCCTGCAAATGTCCAGGCTGCTGCTTAACCAGGAACTGGTCAAGAACATGCACACGCACACACGCACTCACACACACACACACAATGCACATGCATCACCCAAACATTTTGAGCTCAGGACAGAGTTGTTTAATCAAAGCGTTCACTTCTCAGAGTAGAAAATGATCAGTTGTTGGACCCCGTAGAACTATCCCTTAGGAAAGGGAAGGATGGCGTCCTCTCTTCCTGCCTTCCTACTACATTCTGGGAAAGCCATTCATGTAAGAAACCAGATCTCATTTCATTTTCAAGCTCCCTGTCCCTAGTTGAAGTTGATGGCCGTTTCCTTTTGCTTCTATAAACATAGTTCATTGGCATCTATTTTCACAATGAAGGATACTGTTTCCATATACATTCATGCAGAATCCGTTATAATATTGTACTCCCTTGGGACAGTTCTCAGCTCCTGGTAGTCAACTGAGTTCTAAGTCTTGTGTTAGGGCATGCCCGGGATAACTTTTGCAGGGAACACAGTCCTCCCCTGGGCAGCCTCAGGAACTCTAACCTACAGGTCGCTGCAGGCCAAGCTTTATGCTAATCTCTCCAGAGGTTCCTATTTGCCACTTGCTAATACAGCCTTTATCAATTGATTCAAGGAGCTTTAATGCAAATCAGAAGTCCAACATTCAATGAGAAATTCATTTCACTCATGCATAATTCATAGAATAATAAGGGCAATGAGCATCCTGGGAAGGAAGAGGCTGGCTTTCATTTCACAGCAGAATCTGCTGCTTTTTACATTATGTGGGACCGTGGGCTTGAAATGAGTCCACACACATCAGCAGGGACACTGAGCCATTTTCATTAGCTTCTCCCACAACATGGTTTCTCACGGTTTTGAAAAGCATTATCAACAGTATCTTTCCCTGCTGGGGCCCTGGTGACTGGGATGCCCAGGGTGCTTACCTGCCACAAAGTCACCAAAGCCCACCGTGGTGAGGGTGACCACCACAAAGTAAATGGACTCCAAGGTGGTCCACCCCTCGATATATTTGAAAATGACAGCAGGAATCGTCACAAATACAATACAGCCGGCCAAGATGAACAGGATGGTTGAGATGACCCGGATCTTGGTCTGGCTCACTTGCTTTTTCTGGGAACAGCAAAGGAGAAAGAGAGGCAAGTCAGCTTCATCACCCTGGATTCAGAAGACAGAGGCAGAGGAAGAATGTATTATGCCAGTGGACTTTCACATTTTGTCAGTCATGGGCAGCTTGGGGACAATCTGATGAAGGCTGTGGGCCCTCTCCTAGAAAAATGCATGCACAGAAATTTTCAGATGCTCTAGGTGGTTCTCAGACCCAGTGAAGCCTGTTCGTTCAGCCCGGGTCAAGAAACCCTGCTTAGATCATGTCTTGAATGTCCTTTGTGTGGTTCCATGACTGCAGCCCAAATGCTGATTCTAACTTCCTCACTAGTACAAACACAATGATTCCCCAAGAAGGGCTTGCTGACAATTCTCACATGGTATTATTGACCCTTCTCCTGGAGGGTGCAGGTTTGGAGCACTTTCCACAATGGTAGGTATGGACCTGGTGCCTAGTTCCCCTTGTATCAGTGGGAATGTGTTGGAAAAAAACAAAACAAAACAAAAAAGACAAAAAAAAACAAAAACAAAAGCAAAAAAAACAGCTGACCTGAAACAGACTAAAATGTTCAGATGACAAGAAAAACAGCCGCCCCCATACACATTTAAGACAGACTCTAGCTTCTTCACCTTCCTTCCCTGCTGAAGTTGTACACTTATAACATACTTTTCTTTTAAAACATACATGTTTGAGCCAGCGCTGTGGTGTGTTCAGGCTGTGTTATCCACTGGGGACAGACAAGAGTCTAAGTCAGAATGACAGGCTACTGTCTAAAATGATCAGCTTCGTTTCAGGCCATCTTCTGAAGGAGCCAGTCAAGAGATGAAAGCATTTAGATTGGGAATTAGACAGATGTCACCCAAAGGAATGGTGCCAATGGAGTCCAGATGCGGACCGGGAACCTCCCTGGTATTCCCCTTGAATGCATTCAAGACAACACTGGCATTGCCTCTGAGCTGAATAATCCTTAAGGTCTTCTCAAAGTTCCCAGGACTGGCATGTAAACTGTCCTCAGGGGGCCCTAGCACCATAGCCCGACCAAAACCACATACATCAGGGTGACTGGGCCTTTCCACATCGCCTAGATTGATTTTCTGCAAAAATACACCACATGTGGGGCATTGGATATAGGAAATCCTTACCATGTGCTCTGTTTTCTATTCATTGCCTTCCGGTGATTTAGGAGGCAGAGAACCTCAGAGCGTACAGAGACCTTTGCATTCATACACTTCAACAGAAGCCAAGAGGGGTTGAGGGACTAGCATAAAATGATTTTGCTAATTAGAGCCAAGGCCAAGATTAGAATTCTGATGTGATTAACTCCCAGCCCAGTGCTTACTGATAGAACCAGACTTCAAGTTACTCTACAATTTCCCAGCTTACACAAAGTCGCCAGAGTCCTGCCCCCACCGGCCCCCTCATAACAAAATCAACCAGACTAACCCCCATGAAGAACAAGAGGCTGTCCTGCTTCCCTTCTGGAAAGGAAGACGGAGAATAAAAAATTGTTACTGTGCAATGTGTCCAGGAATTCCTAAGCTTCGGTCATAAGCAGTGACACCTCTGCCATGTGTCCCCAGGACAGAGATGGTCAAGAGAGTGTTTTCTAAGGTCAACCACTTGGATCAACTGTGGAAATGCTGGTCAAGAAGATGACTAGGCTCCCCTCCCTTCCATCCCCTCCTCCTCGACTATGGGAGAAACGTCGGCGCAGCTTGTTTACTGGAAAGTTCCAGGGATGCGGGAGCTGAAAAAGGGGAAAGGATGCTGTCCACTCTATTCACACCTCAGAAATATTCAGTCCCACCTGCCTTGGGTTCGGTCCCAGGTATGTTCAACACAACAAAATAGAGGACTCAGTTCAACGAATAAGAACAGGGGTAGTGGAGAACATTTATTTGCATGAATCTAAATCAGCACTATGTACACCCCCATTCTGAGATCAATATATTCCCTAAAAATACACAGGAAAACCTAAGGAAATACAATCCTTCTTTATGAAAAGCAGTCGTGTGCTCTTACTCCCAAAAGGGCACTCGGTATATAAAGTGGGAATGGGGAAAAATTATTTGATCCATGCTTTTATACAGTCCCCTCCTCATCTCTTCAGAAAAGCCATCTGAAAAAAAAAAAGTGATAATTTACTGATATTGCTGAAACTGCAAATGAAAATTCCAATTCTTTTTTTGATGAAAGTATCGTGACAAGATGAATCACCTGAGAATCATGGGAATGTCTTACCCATTCCATGAATTTCCAGCCTGGATATTATAACAGGACTTGGTGAAGGCAGTTGAGTCCCTCTGAGAATCCAGGAACATATTTATTACTAGCCTAGTTTTGTTTATAGACACGTATGAAAATCCAAACCCCAGAATCACGGGAATGTCTTACCCATTCCATGAATTTCCAGCCTGGATATTATAGCAGGACTTGGTGAAGGCGGTTGAGCCCCTCTGAGAATCCAGGAACATATTTATTACTAGCCTAGTTTTGTTTATAGACACGTATGAAAATCCAAACCCCAAAAGGAGACTTCACCATAGATCATTAAATTAATCTAATTGCTGGCAACGGGAACATCATTCTCCCCCTCCTCTATAAACTGTCCTCCTCAAACGCATAATGAAATTAAATGTTTCTGAGACACTTGTTAAGTCATAAATTAGGATGTGAATACAATTGCAATCCAAATGAGGCTGCGGTTGCCAAAGGAGGGCTTGCAAGTACATAGGAAGCTGGAGACATTCCCGGGCTCCCTGAGGTGGACAGAAGGGATGACAGCACAGGACAGGACCTGTTTGGTGGCAGGAAGGGAGCTATGTAACAAAGGTGAAATAATGGTGTCTAAAGTGCATTATCTCTTGGACAGTTTATCAGCAAGGTAAACATTTCGCCACCGCTCACCTCAGCGCCCGAGGCGAGCCTCGGCTGTCTCTTGCAGACAACCTAGGATGATGCTCAGTGAATGCTTGGAAAATTCAATCATTGGGGTATTTTAGGGACTTAAGAACTCAAATGTCTTACGTGATGTGTGTGTGTGTGTGTGTGTGTGTAAATGTGTATACCCATCCTGCACTGTAAAAGGAAGAGGTGTGGACATAAGGTTTTAGCAATATTTTTTATTCTGGTTACCCATGTTTTTGCTGCCCTCTAGATATTAAAACAGAACAAAAACAGTTACCTTAACTGAACACTTTTTCAACATGGAACTACACACTATCTTCCACATCATCCAGTGATCTTTGGGCTTCTTCTCCCCATTAGCCCTGCAACTGCACACTACCACTTGTAAAAGGGTGTTTAGAAAGTTGGAGTCTAAGGGTGGACTGCCTGAGATGCATCCCACCCCCACTGCTATGTGGCTGGGTGACCTCAGGCAAGTTTCTCAACCTCTCTGTGCATCAGTTTCTTCCTTTATAAAATGGACATCGAGAATCCCCCTCACAGGATTGTTTGGAAGATTAAATAAGTGTGTAAAAGCTTCACACACTGCTGGCTAAGTGCTCAGGGATTGTTAATGATTATCTTTTAATGTGAAAGTTCAAATCTTTTCTCAGATGTGGACAGTCCCAGATTTAATGCTGTCCTTAACTACTGAGGAATGCTCCCTCGTGTCTGGCTTAAGATAATCTTCGTTTCGCTTCAGGAAGTCACTGTTAGTTGTCCCTTCCTGGATACGTTATCTCATATAATTACCTCATTGTTAATGAGAGAAAGGTCCTCATTCTCTCTTGATTCTTCTGTGTTGGCTCTGGGTTGAGCTGACAGTTTCAGCTCACAATCTTGAAAACTTTTTTCTTTGCCTTTCCATTAATTTCCCCCTAGTTCTTCATCATCCTTCTAAGACTGCCAAGAATTGCAGATAAAGTTTGCGATGTCAGGAACCAGGTACAGAGAGGCACGTACCTAGCTTTCCTTGCCCCCGTCCCCCACCTCCCCACCTCCCCGTCACGGTATGGACATGAGCTGTCTTTCCACAGAGGGGCTGCTAAGCAAAATCACACTGCTTATTTACCAGTAAGCAGAGCAGCTAGCAAAACGCTTAGTGAGAGCCCAGATCTGACTGAGCTGATGTGTTCTTGGGCTAACAAAATTGTTATCTGGGAAGAGATGGTTTGATACAATATTTGGGCAGGAGAGATAAGATGGTTGTGCACACCTGTCCAAATCTTGTTTTCACACTTTGTTGATTAGAATAAACGATGTGTTCTTTCCTTCTTATGCAAATAGCATTATGCAAAACTATTTCCTGCCTCCCAATTGGCACTAACTGCAGGAATTTTCAAAGAACTCAAAACCTACCTCCTGTAGAGTTCATTTTGTTGTCACGACTCTTTGTGCAATTATTCCAAAGAGCAAAACAAACTTCACAAACAGAGAACGGAAGAGCCAGGTCTAAGAGCTCTGCTTTGAGAGAGGGATGTACATGCTGACAATCCTAGAAGTGTTTACTTGTTTCAGACCTCAGAGGACTAAGCCACATGTCCAATCCTCATTAAGCAAAATGCCCTCTCTGTGTTTGCCTCCTTCCACAATCTTATTTTAGAGGAGTATATTTCTATTCATTTGTGGGTTGGTTCTTTATTTCATTTTTGCCCCTTTAATGCCCATTCTCCTTTTCACTTTTATGTGATTTCTTAGAATTCTGAGATTAGCAACCCAGATTGTTGTGTCTGGCTGAGGAAATTGCTTCTTCGTTGTGATTTTTAGCCAGGACACTGGAGATAATAAGAATACTGCAATAAAAAAAGTCTTGGACAGGAGCTAGACGTGCAGGGCTCTACTTTTGGTCTGGTTTGGTTTGGTTTGTTGAAATGCAAACACATCACCATGGTGATACAATTGAACTGAGAACAATTTCTCAAAATGGAAAGATAATAGGAACTGCCTCACAGAAGAATTGACTTTATTTTCTGATATTATTATGTTTGCCACAAAGATTTCTTTTAAAAAGGTGCAGTTCCAACAAATAGTTTGAACATCACAGTGAATAGCTATGTAG